CTACACCACTCACTCATTGTGGCATCTAATCATAGTATCTTTTATAGTGTTATCTAGTGTTATATGTGTACATATATTATTTTAAGGGAAATAATATTCTTAGAAAAATTCCTGAAGGACATAGTTCATGTCTTTTATTTCATTACTATTTGAACTATAGAATTAAGCACAGAACTGAGTACAGAGTAAATTCTCAAATATTCTTTAGAGCTCATTCTGCCAAGAAATATGTGTTCTATGTCCCCAAGTCTTTAAACTTGAGAACAGTTTTGAAATGAGCTTGTAAAGAAAATACGATGCACACAAAACTTTAGATCACAAAATAATCAACGAATAAATTGTACCTCCTCGCATAATTTAAAAAACCCACACACCTCTGCATTTACCTCTATATACTTTGGCACAAAAAGAGGTCAAAAAATTTAAAGAGCAGCCAAAATTATTAAGAGGAGGAACTGAAGGACAATTATAATAGCTAATTATCTTGGGCAAATGATGACTATGGGAAAAAAAAAGGTGCAATCAGGCTCTTTGCTCAATTAGGATGCTAAGGATAATTTTGGGGCCATTTTCATGGTGAGTGAAGAATTGTAGAACAGGAACACCTTCATGAGAGGCAATTCTAGGAGACTGAAAACACAACAGGGTAAAACCGTGGCGTCTACATCGTTTCGGGGGAAAGGGGAATTATCTTGGGCTTTATCTAGTCCAATCCTGAACTGCAACAGAACTAGATGAGGTCTCACAATGGAGAACTGACATAATGGAAGCACGAGAGGGTATTGCTAATGAAGTTGTGCAAATTTAGTTGGAGAAAATGAAAGCCAAGAGGGTGATCATAAATCTGGAAGATTATGAAGGGCACACACACATGAGATTTTTTTCTCATCCAAACTCAAAACATTTGGCTAAGAATACCTTCACACACTTCAGCAAAGTACCTACTTTACGCCAATTATAAGGAAACATTTTACGCGGTAGAGGTGGTATCACCAAATGACTGAGGGCACAAGTGCTGGAAGTCAGACTGGCCGTGTTCAAACCCGGCTCTACCAGCTACCCATCTGTGTACCTGGGGCAAATTCTGAACACCCTGTGTCTCAGGTTCCTCAACTGGGAAACGGAGGTAATAACAGGACCTATCTCACAAAGTGGTGGTGAGGATTATAACACATGTGACGTACTCAGAAAAAAAGAAGTCTGGCACATGGTAAGCTCTCAAATGCTGGCTATTAATATACCTCTAGAATTCATTATAAAAATCAGGAAACAAATTGATTTTTTAAGGGTTCAAATATATTTCGGAATGGGCAATCAATATATGGCTACTAACACAACTGAGACATACCCAACTTTAAGGTTAGGAGTGTCTGAATGGGATGAACCAATAAGACAATGTTGGTTTTGCATAAATTTTCAACTCTAGAAAATTTCTAGAAATTTTCAACTCACTCTGCTAACTCTTTCTTATTTTTGTAAATGGTATAAAAGCAATATGGGAAAAAGAGGTAAATAAGAGAGAAGTAGATTAGCAGACAAGGTGATGTCTTTGGAAACACCATTCCAATCTAATATGCCAAATGTGTGATGTTCCCATGTTCAGCTGAGCCCTTCTAGGGTTTCACATCTACTTAAAAGTGGGGTGGGAAGGGGAGGGGACAGGTCTATGGCTTCACTTTCAGTTATGGCACTTTCCACTTCACCCACTATATGCCACAAAGGCCTTTTTTCAGTTTCAGTACGAGGCCGGGCTCCTTCCTGCCTCAGGGCCTTGGCAGGTTGATCCCTCTGCTACTAGGAACACTGTAACTCCCTCACTACCCTCCTGTGGCTACTTCCTCATCCTAAAGTCCCAGCTTAAAAGTTACTATCCCTGGTACCCTTATTTAAAGTAGGTCTCTCTTGTTATTTCTATCTCAGCACCCAGTTTGCTTCCTGCACAGTAGGGCACTAACATGATTTCTAACCATTTTATTTGCTGATGTATTTATTTATATTTAATGTCTCCCCAATTAGATAGCTCTATGATGGCAAAGAACATCTTTATTCATTATATCATCCTCAGCTTAACACACTGACTAGCACATTATAGACAATATCTGCTGAATGAATGAAGCAATGATCCTTAAGTCCACTTTCAGTTCAAAATAGTAATTATTAGGTAATAGAACAAAAATACCCAGTATAAAGGGCGAGGCTTTTACTTAGGAAATATCTAAGTGACTCCTTGCTATGATCAAGCTAATCGAATGGCTCCATTCCAAGTTTAGTTAGAACTTGACTGATGTAACCTATTAATGAGTAACATCTTCCTCAATGACTTTGTAAGTTTTGCTTTCAAATTTGCCTTACTCATTTTAAGAACTAGGCCCAAACTTCTATTCAATAATAGGCTGGCCACATAAGAATTATCTGAGAAGCTTATTAAAAATACATATTTTTTGGACCAAAACTCCAGGAGGTTCTGATTTAGTATTTGTTTTTTAATTTTTTAATATATGTTTTTTCTTCTTTTTTTTGTAATTCAGACTACAAACATTTGGTTACATAAATTGCTTTTGTACCATTCGAGTCAAAGTTGGAAGTGTGCCCATCCCCCAGACAGCATGTATTGTACCCACTAGGTGTGGATTTTCCCATCCCCTCCTCCCCCCTCCCACCTGCCTGACACTCTCATGAATGTTACTTCCATATGTGAACATAGGTGTTGATTGATTAGTTCCAATTTAATGGTGAGTACATGTGGTGTTTGTTTTTCCATTCTTGTGATACTTCACTTAGAAGAATGGTCTCCAGCTCCATCCAGGTTAATACAAGAGGTATTACTTCACCATTTTTTTTATGGCTGAGTAATACTCCATGGTATACATAAACCACATTTTATTAATCCACTCATGTATTGATGGGCACTTGGGTTGTTTCCACATCTTTGCAATTGTGAATTGTGCTGCTATAAACATTCGACTGATTTAGTATTTATAAAGTAAGGCTCTAGAATCCATTTCACTAAAACTTTTCTTACTTTGAATAGATAATATGTGTATGTAGTATGCAGTTCAGAAAGTAAGATGTCTACAGCAAAGTTTGTCTTCTACTCTTGTCCTCCTGGCATCAAATTCCCCTTTCCACAGGCTACCACTGTTACCAATTTCTTGTGTATCCTTCCTGATAATTATTTGCCAAAGCAAACACATAATATCCCTTGTTTAAATGCATACTTTCATACTTAAAGAACTGTTTTAACCTTGTTTTTTCTAATCCCATTTAACAATTGATATATTGGAAATGAAGGTATCTGTATTTTTAACAAGCACCCTAGATAATTCTGATGTGAAGCCAAATATAGAAATCGCTCATTGGCCAGAGTTGAAAGATTAGGTTCAATTCACTATGCATATTAGAAACTCAAGGACATTGAAAAGATGCCCTCGAAGGTAGCCTTGCTATTTCACCTCTGCCCCCTCGTCTCACCTAAATGAACTAAATCATTTTCCAATATCTCCACAGAAGCCAGTAAAAACTAGCCATTCAAATGGATGTTGTCAAAGCTGTTCATTTTTCTATTCCTGGAACCCTTTCCTGCTCATTATTACCAGAAATCACGAACCTGACAATTTCTACGTTACACAAGTATTTGGGTTGCAGTGAGCCCTCTTTACTGAATGAGGGCTGATTTTTCTCTCCTGGCATTTAAGTAGTTTAATGGAGCACAACCGAAATACTTCCCTTACTAATCCTCACTGACACAACAGCATCCAACCCTCCCCCAGAATTGCTTTCTTACCATCTGGGCAAAAGCAATTAACTTAGAAACTGTTGAAAGAAGACGCATTGTCAGTCCCAACCTGGTGAATTCTGGAGTTCCGGCTCCTGTTTACCTGACTTGACCTCCACCTGGGGACGAAGGCTGAGCTCTACCTCTACCTCCCCACCTATCCTCGGGACAGCAAAAGGAGTTTCTTTTTGGCACGGAGGGAAGGTTCTCCGAGGGCCACCCATCGTCTCTTCCAAGAATTTCCTCTGGCAGTGTCTCTTTCACCACGAGGGGCACCGCGCTGCAGACATCCTCACCTCTCCTGCACCGCGCCAAGGAGTAGTGTACCGAGCTCCCCAAGCGAGGCAGGGAACCCTCAAGGATACAGAGCTGTTCACCCCCGCACCCCAGCTGAAGGGGCTCTGGGGGGCTCGGTCTCTGCCTGCGACCCTGGCAAGGGGAGGGCGTGACTCCTTCATCCCTTCTCCCTGGATTCAAACGTGAAGAGAAGAAAGGGGTCCCAAACCTCAGACCCCTCTCTTCTCCACTCGGGCTTTTCTTCCATTCTCTGGGCCGTGTCTTTCTCTGAGTGGTAGCCCAAGTCCCCGACCTCGGCACCCTCTTGCTTGGCTCCCGCCCTCCTTCCCATCTGACCCCTTCCCCCTCACCCAGCATGATGGGGCTGAGCCGCCGGGCCAGGCCCTTGGACAGGTCGTATACGTAGAGCTTCACCGGATAGAGGTTCGGCGGCTCCATTGGGACTCGTGGCGGCGGCGGCCACGACGGCCCTCGGGCACCCGGCAGCGGCTTGGACCTTCCCGTACCCGCCGGGGGTGGGAAGCGGAGGGAGCGGGGCGGGGGACCGAGCCCGGGCCCGGCCTGAGGGGCGGGGGAGAGGCCGCCCTGCGCTGCTCGCGCCTCCGCACCTGCTACCGGCAACGACTACTGTGAGGTGACAGAGGGGACAGGGAGGGTCCGCACAGAAGAGAGGGCGGGGGCGGGGGGTGCGGCGACGCACTTTTGCGCATGTGCGTACCACCCTGCCGGGCGGCGAGGGCAGAACTTTGCCGAAGGGGGCGGGGCTTTCGCTGATGGGGTTGGCTTTAGTTAGGGACGTGTGTAGAAGCCGGTTGTGAGGGTAGGCGTGTCAGCCTGACGGGAAGCAGTGCGCACTATGCGTGATGACGTAGAAGGGGCGTTGATTGGGAGAGAGAACACAGGAGCTTGCGCATGCGTGGTGCCCCATTTTTCTGTCTTCAAGTTCCTCTCTTCCCTGCGTCAAAGGTAGGCTGTCAGTTCCTGGTGTGCGTTGCTCGCCAACCAGGGCTGGCCTCGTTCCGCTTCGCCCACTTAGTCTCGCGCTTTCTGGGGGGCAGCACCAGCCTGAAGTGTGCGAATCCGAGGAGTAGACACAGAGGCTAGATCACGCTCCTTCCTCCCGGTAGAGGCTGCACCTGGCGTTTGAGGCCCGCCTGCGTCTGAGACCTCATCGGGCGTGACTACTTGGGTAGTTGGGGGAGGTTTTTGGGCGGGATGCGGACGAGTGGGTCCGCTAAAGAACAGACTATCCCAGAGCGGGAATCCCTTACAATCCAAATGGCGCCGGAGGCGGGACAGGACCTCCAGGCTCAGGCTACGCCAGCACACCGATCACAGCGACCACCCCGGGCCGCCACTGGCTTATGCTGGAGTGATCCCCAAGTCCATTTACCTGTACACTCAGGTGCACAAGTGCACTGAGCTCTTGAGGCAGCAGGATCCGTCATCCATATTCCTTACTAGTAACCCCAAGCCTTTAAAACAGATCTCACTAGAGCGTAGAAGTCGATATTTTTCGGCTTAAATGTGCTTGTTACTGATGATCTTCTTTCACCTAGTGAGCAGTAACCAACATGTCAGGGTGGGAGTCTTATTACAAAACTGAGGGCGATGATGAAGAAGAAGAACAAGAGAGCTTTGAAGCGGGTGGTAAGTGACTTTAACATGTAGTAGTACCATTCTGTGTGTGGAAAGGAAGACCTTCCCTGCCTATCTCTGCTAGGTAGACTTTGCTGTCTGATGGCTCACCCTTCTCTCCCCAGATAATCTGAAATATTTTTCTACTTTTGAATTTTGCAGAGTTACCCTAGGCTCTTTTATTCAGGTCCTACTCTAGTCTGCGGGACATTTCTAGCCTTAAATTTTTGCTGGGCACTGATAGATTGACATCTATTGTGCCCCAATCAATGACCATGGGTGTCTTTTATCACCTTAAATGGCTCAGGTGAGACCCTTCCTCACCCAGGAAAGTAGTTTTACTCATTCCAGGACCTCTGTGTAAAAATGCCTTAACCCCACAGTAACTGCAGCAACCAAAGAGTAAATATTAGCAACACAGTAACAGGAAAGTGGTCGATTTCCTCACTGTAGCTTCCAGGTTTGGGAGTGTATACTCAGGCAACACAGTAACACATGGGGTAAAGAAAGAGAAATAAGGGGTAATTGTAATCTACATACTGGCCTATTTAACTCCTGGGTAGAAATTTTTAAAGTGCTTTCATTAAAAGTGAGAAACATGTGGGAAATATAAAAAATAAAAGAGAAAATTTATTATAATCTGCATAATCTACCATCCTAATACAACCACTACCAGCATTTTGTCATTTTGCATGTTTCCTGTATGATGTATCTTTCAATCTTTATTTCTTAACTATATATATATATCTGATTTTTTAAAATCTGATTTTATAATATTGTAATCATAGTGCATATACATTTTTCATTTATTTATACCAGTCTTCCAAAAATAATTTTAACATATATACATAATTTTGTGTTCTGCCTTTTTTCCTTATTGTTGTATCACAGATATATCTTTCCAGTAACTACATATATATACATATATATATAAAATCTTTACAACTCATCTGTTGAGCATTTTAGTTATTTTCAATTTCTTTCTTTAATAAACAACATTGTGGTAAATTTTGCATAAGGGTTTTTCCTTATCTTATTAAGATAGATTGATAAGAGGTAGAATTCACTGGATCAAGGTAGATTTTTATTTAAGGCTCTTGACACATATTGCCATATTGTTCTCCAAAAGGTGGTTAATTAAGTTTATAGTATTAAGGAACAGCAGTGTCAAAAAGGGAGACAACTGGATATTATATGTCTTTTTATGAAAAATACAACATCATCTATGATATAGTCATGCCAGAAGAAGAAAAAGGAAATCTGAATCTGATTAAACCTCTCTAGGTCCTTAGTAGGAAGGACAGAGGACTATGTTAATCTACACTGAAAGAATGCAATCAGCAAAATCCAGAATGTGGATGAGTTTACACAACAAAGCATTCTGGTTCTTTAGCAAATAAATTACGAGAGAAAAAAGACAGAGGGGGTATATATAAAGAGGCTTCAAAAACATTTATTGATTGATTGACAGAGTTTCGCTCTGTTGCTGGGGCTAGAGTGCCATGGCTTTAGCCTAGTTCCCAGCAGCCTCAAACTCCTGGGCTCAAGCGATCCTCCTGCCTCAGCCTCCTGAGTAGCTGGGACTACAGGTGTGCACCACCACACCCAGCTAATTTTGTCTATTTTTGGTAGAGATGGGGTCTCATTCTTGCTCACGCCGGTCTTGAACTCCTGAGCTCAAGCGATCCTCCCACCTCAGCCTCCCGGAGTACTAGGATTACAGGCATGAGCCATCATACCTAGCCAAAAACATTTTTTTTTTTAAAGTCAAAACTAATGTTTAGGAATATACACTTGGGTGATAAAACTATAAAGAAAAGTAAGAAAGTGATTATCAAAAGTCAGGGTAGTGATTACTTTTGGGGGAGTAGGTGTTGTAATTTGGGAGGGAATATAGAAAGGACTTCTGAGGTGGCCGGCAAGACTCAATTTACTGACATAGGTGGAGGTTTTAAGGATGTCCACCTTACAATAATTCATTAGGTTATACTTTTGTTTTATGGGCTTTTTTCTATTTGTGTTATGTGAATGATAAACATGATAAATATGAATACAAGGGCAAACATTTCCTTCCATTTTTTTCCCCATAGGAGAATATAAATATTCAGGAAGAGATAGTTTGATTTTTTTGGTCGATGCCTCCAGGGCCATGTTTGAATCTCTAGGTGAAGACGAATTGACTCCTTTTGATATGAGCATCCAGGTAACTCTGCCTTTTTACTTAATTCAAAAAGACAAATTTTTAAAAAGCCTTCATACCACTTTTAAAAATTCGGACTCTTTGAAAAGTTTGTGAATGATAAATGGTGGTTGGCCTCCCAGGATGGCTACCTATATTTGCAGCTGAAAATGGTAGCAGTGTTGGAGAACAGTCCCATTTTATTCTGGGTTTGAACTTAGGACCCTAGGAATACATTGCCCCTTCCTTCTGTGTTCGACTTGGTAGTAGAAGTGGGCTTTTCCTTCTATAGAGATGGGAGTATAAAGAAAGAAGAGACATTCTGGCAGTTATGGTGTGAAGAAGAGTCCTCTTGTAAGTGGTATTTGGGAGTTGCATACTACCCATGGTTGAAAAAGATCACTGTAATAAAAAGACAGACAACCCCAACTTAAAAATGGGCACAAGACTTGAATAGATGTTTTTCCAAAGATACACAGATGGCTAATAAGCACATGGAAAGATGCTCAACATCTTTAGTCATTAGAAAAATGCAAATTAAAACCACAATGAGATACCACTTCACACCCACTGTGTAAAAAAAACTATAATGAAAAAACAACAGCAGAAAGTAAGAAGTGTTGGTGAGGCCATGGAGAAATTGGAATCCTTACACTTTGTTGGTGGGGATGTGAAATGGCGCAGCGGCTGTGGAAAAGTTTGGCAGTTCCTCAAAGACTTAAGCATACAATTACCGCGTGACCCAGTTCACTCCACTCCTATGTGTATAACTAGTAGAATAAAAAATATGTACTCAAATAAACTGTAGATGTTATCAATAGAAAAGTTGCCGAACCCTTTGGTATCTGTTTCTTCGTGTGTAAAATGGAAAGAATAATAGAATCAGGTTGTTGTGAGGATTAAAAGTTTTTGTTTGTTTTATTTTTTACTGAGCCCATCCTTCTGCAGAATGTTACTTTATTTCATTTTATTTTATTTTTTTTAGGCAAGCATGAAGATGAGGTTTATTGAGGAGAGAAAGACAGGGTTATAGGGCAAGAGCAAGATATAGGTTTACAGAGCATGATAAATATGCCACAGATGATGACCAGACCCATTGTTGTAGCAACAGGAGAGCAAAGGGGAGGGCGCAAAAAGAAAGGGAGAATGTTACTTTAAATTGAGGTGTAATTCACATCATATAAAATTAACCATTTTAAAGTACACAATTCAGTGGTATTTAGTACATTCACAGTTTTGTGCAACCCCCACCTCTATCTTGTTCCAAAACATTTTGAATGGCTAAACAAACTGTGTCATATACATAAAATGGAATATCACTGAGCCATAAAAAAGGAGTGAAGAACTGATACCATGCTACGAGGTGGATGAACCTTGAAAACACATGCTAAGTGAAAGAAGCCAGATACAGAAAGCACATATTGTAAGATTTCATTTACATGAAATGTCCAGCCTAGGTAAGTCCATAGAGAATGCATGCTGGCAGGTACCTGAGGCAGAGGGGAGGGAGGAATGGGGAGCAAGTGCTTAATGGGGATGGGGTTTGCTTTTGGGGTAATGAAAATGTTTTGTAACTAGATAGAGGTGGTAGTTGTACAACAGTGTGAATGTACTAAATACTACTTAATTGTTCTCTTTAAAAACCATTACTTTTGTTGGCTGGGCATGGTGGCTCATACCTATAATCCTAACATAATTTTGTTATGTAAATTTCACCTTAAGTAAAATTGTTTCTTTTTTTTTTTTGTGTGCTTCATAGAGAAGAATTTTCAAAGATTTGTTATATATCCCATGTCTCATAATTCTGGAGTTTGGAACTGAACAGAAACTTCTCATGTTCTAGTTTA